GAAGGAAGTCTTCCATCCACTGGTTCACTCCCCAATTGGCCGCAACGGCCGGAGCTGTGCCGATCCGAAGCCAGGAGCCAGGAGCTTCCTCCGGGTCTCCCACGCAGGTGCAGGGGCCCAAGGACTTGGGCCATCTCCTACTGCTTTTCCAGGCCATAGCAGAGAGCTGGATTGGAAGTGGAGCAGCCAAGACTCGAACCAGTGCCCATATGGGATGCTGGCACTGCAGGCGGCAGCTTTACCTGCTACACCACAGCTGGCCCCGTGGTGATGGTTTCATGGATGCATGCATGTATCACAAGTTGTCCATATGGAGGACAGCGTTGGGGGGTTACATCTCTACCTGCGAAGAAGGCAGCCCACACTGGAACACCAGCTCAAGTCCCGGCTGCCCTAATTCCCATCCAGCTCCCTGCTCATGTGCCTAGGGAAACAGTGGAAGATGGCCCAAGTGCTTGGACACCTGTCACCCATGTGGGAAACCTGGATGGAGCTCCGGGCTCCTGGCTTCAGCCTGGCCCAGCCCCATAGGGGATGCCAGCACTGCAGGTGGAGGCTTAACCAACTGTGCCAAGCACCTAAACACCATTGCGTTTTTAATAGCAGAGGAAATCGGGTTTAAGTGAACAGCCCTTAAACTTCCCTCTTGCTGCCTCTCTCTTCCCTCTTCCCCCGTCTCCTCCAGAAACCAGAGGATGGACTTCCTCCTGCCAGCTTCCCGGGCTTCCACACTGAGCAGCATGTCTGTGAAGCAGCCCGGCTCCCCCGTGGGGCCCCTCCGTCCTCCCGCTCGCCCTGGCCGCGGCCATCACTCTCAGTGACAGCTCCGTGCCCTGTCTTGGCAGAAGGGCTACGTGGGCTGTCACTGTGGGCACTGAGGCATCTTTCTCCTGCAACCGGTTCTCAACTGATGGCCTTGAGCTGGGCCTGCATGTGGGAGGTGCTGGGTTTGCTGCCACTGGACATCCCTGCCCACATGGGAGGGCATGAGCTATGGCAAAGGATTTACACACGGATGCTTCCAGAAGTACCTTCCCTGGGCCCAGCCTTGCCTTTCCCACTGAGGGGAATATAAAGTGGACTGACCTCGGTGGAGGAGAGCTTGGCCACCGTGTCCAAATGGAGAAGCGTGCACCTGACACTTAAGAATTTACCCTTCGAACATAAAAGCAAAACATAAAAGGAAAAGAAAAAAAGCAGAGAAAAAAATATATGAGCCATATGGGCTCAGCACTTCTCTTTTCCCAGGTGCTAATTTTAGCAAACACAAAGCTGCCATCTCCCAAAGACAGAGTGTCTACGGACACCTCCCGGGGCCCCTGGTGTTCTGACTGACTGGTCCTGGGGCTGTGGCATGGCCGTGTTCTTGGCTGTGGCTGTCGCCTCGCGTCGTAGCTGTGAGACAGCTGGGGGGCCCTGGGGTTTGCCTTGTGCCTGAGGCCCAGACAGGTAAAGGCAACAGAAGAAGCCACCGCGCTGGAGAGAGGGAAGCCAGATCGGACTGTAGCCTCCAAGCCAGACAGAGCCCACCCCGGGCCCGCCCAGAGCCTGTGGGGCTCCTGCCAGGACCGCAGAGGCTCATGGGAAATTCCCGCCAGGGACCCTGGAGGTGACACCTCTGGCTGAGTTTGCACAATGTCTCCACAAGCTGTTCTCTGGCAACACAGGGGCCCTGGCTGGTGGAAGACGCCCTGGGGCCTGTCTGGCCTTCCCAATTCTGCAGCCTCGCAGAGGGGAAGCCCATGACAACGATACCACCTCCACTCGGCAAAGGGCAGTGCCAAGGCCACGGGGAGCCCATGACTCCGCCATGACTTGTGCACAGCCTGGCCCTCGGGGCTTGTGGCTGCCCGCTGGCCCAGCCTTCCGCTGTCACATGGGCTCAGCCAGCCCCCAGCTATGCAGTGCTGTGTGCACCAACATCCCAGGGCCGGGCGGAGGCATCGCACACCCGTGCACGGACACAGCCCCTGTCCCGGCTTTGGAGGAAGAAACCCACCCCAGGTCGTGGTGCTCCCTGGAGAGCTGAGCCACCCAACGGGAGCAAGTTCAAAGCCAGGTCGAAGTCTGTGAAGCCTCCTGGGAGGTTGTCCGCCCAGGGCCCCTGGGGTGTGTGTGTGTGTGTGGGTGCCACGACTTGAACATGCCAGAACCATGTAGAAATCCAATCTATTGTGAGGTGTTGAGAGGCTGCAAACTTAATCTGACCATGGGATCAGTGGAGGGTGGGGGGAGGGACCCCCACTAGAAGGTTAAATGAGGCTGTGGCGGGGGTGGGGACAGGGCTTCATAAGAAGGGGCAGAGAGACTTGAGCTAGGGCACCCCGTCTCCCCACGTGACACCCGGCACCACCCTGGGACCCTGCAGAGAGTAAGACCTCACCAGATGCCGCCGCCCGACCTTGAACTTCCTAGGCTTTGTAAGACCAACGGCCAGGTCTGTGGTGCTCACAGTTCCGGCAGCGGAAGATGGAACAAGACGATGGGGGTGATGATGACGGTGGCCAAGGCCTGCCCGTGACCTAGACCTACCCCTGCACCTGGCTCCCCTCGGGCTTAGCCTTGGTTTCCAGAGCCGAGCCTGCTCTCCGCTACAAACTCAGCAGCGATGGCCTCAAACCTTTCACAGGTTTCTTTAACCAGAGACCACCAGACACGGAACGAGGGAAGCTACCGGGGCTGGCGGGGTGGGGATGGGGGGGCTGCCCAGCCCTGAAGCCCACCCCTCGGCACCCCCAGTGGCGGGCGGCCCGGCTAAGAGGAGACAGCAGCCTGCACCAGCCCGAGGCTCTGCATGCACATGGCAGCCCTGGACGGCGGTGCCACTGAGCCCCCGGGCGCCACGTGAGGACGGGGGCAGCCAGTGTGCTGTGTTCCCAAGACCCTCCCCCTCTGCAGTCCAGCCTGCCTGGGAGAGGCCTCTGCCTCGCAGGGTGCTCTTTCCAAATTTGTGGCTGTTGCACCTGCTGTCGGCCAGGCTGGCCTCTTCAAAACAGCCTGAGGTCATCATGGTTGCCTAGGCTGGGCTGGGCTGGGCACATAGCTGCTGGTGCCAGCACCTCTCTCTTTCCTGTTCCAGCATTGGACATGGGTGGGTGGGTGGGTGGGGGGAACTGGAAGGAGGGCAGAGGCTGGAGGTATTCACAGAAGGCTCCTTGGAAGAGGTCACACATCAGGAACACCCAGGAAAGGGCGGGACTTAATGCTCTCTCACCAAATGCATCCCTTGGACCTGACCTTGCCCGAGCTGGGTACCCTGCTCCAAGCTGTGCTGAAGCCTCCCACCCACGACCTGGAACTGGGGCGTACAGACAGCAGTCGCCTGGCTGGGCATGGGCAGGGCAGGGCAGAGCAGGCCCCCAGGGGAGGAACAAAGAAGCCAATGAGTGGGGGCTGGGGGGGTGGGCAGAGGAGGGACCGTGGGAGAGAACAAGAAATAGGAGCGCCCCAGAGCTGGTGCTGACGCCTCCTGCCCCTCAGGGCGCCCTCATTCCTGCAGCCCGAGCCACGGCCCCTACGCCTGCATGGTAGCCACTTGGTGCTGTTTCTTTGTTTGCTTGTTTTTAAGATTTAGTTATTTATCTGAAAGGCAGAGTGACAGCGACAGCAACAAAGGCAGATCTTCCATAGCTGGTTCACTCCCCAGATGGCTACAACAGCCAAGGCTGGGCCAGGCTCATGCCAGGAGCCAGGAGCCCCATCCTGGTCTTCCCCGTGGATGGCAGCAACTCCAGTACGTGGGCCATCGTCTGCTGTCCCGCCGGGCACATTAGCAGGAAGCTGGATCGGAAGTAGATCTGATAGGAGACGCTGGCATCACAAGTGGGGGCTTAGCCTGCTGCACCACAATGCCCATCCCTTCTTGGGGGGTTTGTTCCTTGCCCCCGGAGTGGGGGGGGAACATTTTTAAAGAACCGAGTTGGTGGAGGGGCCTGATGGGAGGTTAAGACGCCATCCGCACCGGAGCATCTGCGTTCGATGCCGAGCTCTGCTCCGATTCCAGCTTCCTGGAGGCAGCGGGGGATGGCGCACGTGGATGGAATTCCCAGCTGCCCGGCCTGGCCCAGCCCCTGCTGCTGCGGGCAACCGAGGAACGAACCAGCAGATGGGAGATCTGTCTGCCTGCCTGTCTCTCGAATAAAATAATAACTAAACATATTAATGAGCAGCTCTCTGTCCAGTGTTTCTGGCATAGTTAGAAGGGCTCAATGTCCGCCGGCACCGCGGCTCACTAGGCTAATCCTCCACCTAGCGGCGCCGGCACACCGGGTTCTAGTCCTGGTCGGGCGCCGGATTCTGTCCCGGTTGCCCCTCTTCCAGGCCAGCTCTCTGCTGTGGCCCAGGAGTGCAGTGGAGGATGGCCCAGGTGCTTGGGCCCTGCACCCCATGGGAGACCAGGAGAAGCACCTGGCTCCTGCCTTCGGATCAGCATGGTGCACCAGCCGCAGCGTGCTGGCCGTGGCGGCCATTGGAGGGTGAACCAACGGCAAAGGAAGACCTTTCTCTCTGTCTGTCTCTCTCACTGTCCACTCTGCCTGT